TTCACAAAATTGATGGTTCCAAGCGTTAATTGTGACTCTGCTGTTTGGCGACTTTGCTTCAGGCAGTCTTAGAGCTAGCATCCAGAAGCTCTAAAGTTAGGACTTTGTGTCCAGGTACAGAGTTTGTATTCGTGGACGACATTATATGCCGGTACTGCAGAGGTCCAGACACTCAGAGAGAACTCATGCTAAGCTTAGGGTCGAAGCTTCCATAAGCCGGGGGGGGGGGGGGGGGGGGGGTAGCGGACAGTACACTGTATATATGCAACTTATACTGCCTCGATAGTGAGTCAGGTTTTCAGCAACGGCGAGCCTGTTTAACCCTTGGATGGATGACCGCTTCACGTCACAATTATTAATACATGTGCAATGTACATTATTATAGAAGCATGATAACAGACCCGACTACCACAAATACTAAATACAGATTATGTGTGATTGTCAAAAGGACAGGGGATGACATAGCTGTCGTTGTTGGGAATATTTTCTCATTCATACACTTAAGATAAATATATTTGTCTGTTCTTTGTTTTTAAAAAAATATGTAACGTTATTAAGCTTCATATCAATAATGAGTATATACTATTAAAAAGTACTATACTGTAGTAATAAAACCGAAACAAAGTAATGCATAGATAATGTCTTAGCTTAATCAAAACTAAATCTTTAATAGGAAAAAAAATTCAAGGAAAATGCTGGCATAAAAACTGTGATTATTATTTTGCAGTCAAGATTTTATACGCAGTAAAAGCACATCTTGCGCTTTTAAGTGTACATACATAGAATTATGTATGTATATTCTCGTACATGTATATACCTAAATAAGTATATAAAAGGTAAGCATGATTGTATGGTATACTGGTATTTCAAAATTTAATTCAGTATTTTAATTAATATCATGAATTTTAGGGAAATGGAGAGGGGAAAAATTCTGACAATATATACGCTTTCTTGGAGAAATAGTTTTCTCGGAAAATTATCTCCTTAAATGACCCATGCCACGGTTATTGTAAATATCAATTCATATAAAGAAAAAAAAAATACTGAAAGGTTTAGAACAAATTATATAAAAAAATAAGTAAAATAGACTTAAATATGAATTTATTTAAGAGAATATATTTTTTTAGGTTGAGAAATGTACAACTCTTTACGCTGTACCGGAATCATTACGTTGAAAGTTGATAACGCCATGTGAACGTCATGACGTCATCAGTGTTATTTTCTTAAGAAAACATTGCATTTTTAGTGAGTTGTGTAGGGAAAACGGTTTGAGATATTTTCAAAAAATAAATTGATTTAGAACAGGGGTATCCAAGACACACTATTTAAATATTATCACCAGATTTTGGGACTAGGCGGATTTTGGTGCCTAACGTACCTTCTTTTTTAGTGTTAAATAGAAATTAATCAAAACATGCACACCAATTATATACCCCGTATATACAAGTGTGCAGTGCACCATGTGACTGGAGGTAGGAGGGTAATTTGTGCCCTGGAACCTCCAGGTTCACTACCTTGGCATATATAAGCATACTTGTAACTAAAAAATCTAACTTTAGGCCCCAGGACTATAATATAACTTTAAATTTATGGAACATCTTGATACAGGTACAAAAAATGTCAGCAAAACTGATGTACGCCAGAGTTGGATTAAGCATCCAAAGAGTGTGCCACCTCGTCAAACTAAGACGATGGAAGAACTCTTTCCTGCACCTGACAGGTTTATAAATTACAGGTAAGCATTTATTATGACTGTTTCATGAATGGTGCAAAATTTTAAAAAATGACAGTACCCCAAAAGTGAAAATATAAAAAAATGAGAAATAGCACATTTTTTATCGGCAATATACACTTTTTTCAATGGATGGAACTGTATATCTCTGGTCGTCCATCCTAATTTTTTTCAGACCAGCAAGCTACAGATCTGCAGCTAGCATGGTATATTGTAAAACCATTCAGTGTTGTATTATGCTCCAGTTTTCAACTTTTGTCAAAAATTACTAGGGCAACAAATAGGCCAGTCAATGATAGGGACAAGGAGTTCCTATATCAGAAATTGACAACTCTAGGGAGATTTTCAGGTTAATATATCTGGTGTTTTATTTTAGTGTCACATTGTTTTCGAGTTTATTTTATTGTTACTGTTTTGAAAATTTATACTGTGATAGGATAGAATGCATACATACATGTATATATATATATATATATATATATATATATATATATATATATATATATATATATATATATATATATATATATATATATATATATATATCCACAAAACACCTAACTAACTCATTACACCCGGACTTTGGACTTCAGATATTTAATGGCTTATTTGACATTGGACTTAAATTCTGACAATATTTGCAGTCTTTCCATTCTCTTTGCTATTTTGTCCTTTACATATTTAGTTTTGTTCTTGTCTCTTTTGTTTTTGTGTTGACTTTGTTTTAAACTTTTAATTATACATTTATACTATCAATTTCAGTTCAGTGTGAAGTTTTGCATCACATCACAATCTTTTTTGACAGATGCATTCAGCGTAAACAATTCATGTGATTGATTAACTCATATTATCAACCTTGACACAGAAATAGTTTGTTGTACAGGCAATCAATCAGCGATAAGAAGAAAGTTCCAGTCATAAAGCTTGCGGTTAGGAGGCGTGTACTATTTACCTTGAACGCATCTGTCAAAGTACAAGATCGTGACGTAACATAAAACTTCACACTCAACTGCAACCTTTAGTAAAATATTTAAATATTATTTACCCTATTTCTCATACTTAAAGGAAGTTATTTGTACATTCTTTTCACATGTATACATATTGAAATCCAAAATTTATTTGAAGTAGTGAATAAAATAAGTTTGAAAAACTATTAAACATATATACCAGTATTAAGAATTGGTGATGTAACTGCAATACAGGTTTATTGAGTATTTGCCGTCTTTTTCACTGAGGGTTTAATTTTTCTTTTTAATTAAATCAACTGCAATGCATTAAATACTATCCCCCGAGCCGCTCGTGCCCACACTTGCAGTGCCTCTAGTTGAAGACCTCATATCTAGCCAGGAATTTATCTCTGCAGAGAATCCAATCGCTTGGATGAAGCAAAAATTAATGATAAATGAGCAAGAAATCCAACAGGTAAAGACAAATGAGTTGCGTAATGAATAGAATGTATTCTGTTTTATTATGAATGTTGTTTAAGTTATAAGATTTTTGTCACGTTTAAGATTGCCTGTCTTACCACTGGTCAAAAGGAAAATTGCATGTGGTCATCTGTTAGGAAGAATAGATTAACAGCTTCAAACTTTGGTTGTGTTTTGGCAGCGATCAAGAGAAATAGGTATACGGGTAGTTTACATGCCTTTATATGTATATGTAATTATAAATGATACTTGTAAAAGCAGTTAATTATAAAATCAAAAATATTGAAAGTTTGCTCCTTATTTAACAGATATCCTGTCTCCTTATACAAAAGATTATGTTCAGCTTATGATCTGTCAAAGAAGGATGCCATTATTTGGGGGACGTGCAATGAAAAAGTCGCAATTGAAAAGTATAGAACTTTTGGGGATGCAGTTGTAGAGCCAACAGGTTGGTATATTTCTTTCCTAAGCAAAATTTCAATTTCTTTAAAGCAAATAAAAATTGATGATAAATAAAAAATTTTCTTGAGCTCATTTATTTAAAATTCAGTTATTAAACTGAATTTGAAGATAATGAATATAAATATACTGTTTTTATGTTCTATTTATAACAAGTCATCAATGCATAAGAAAATCAGAGTGTTGCATATTAATGCTATTTTGTAACTTTATAATACTGTTCATATTAGGTATCTGGCTACACTGTAATGGGGTTCTTGGGTCAAGCTCTGATGGACTCATTCGTCGTCCTGCTGCATTCGGATTCAGCTATCAGAATCTAGGACTCGCTGACATATTAGAGATGTCAAACGTTAAGCCAGAAGTACTGGAGGTGAAATGCCCCTTTTCAGTAAAGAATATGACAATCCCAGAAGCTATTGAAAAAGTACATGATTTCTGCCTAGGTAATAATAGTGTATATGTATTTGTTTGAATATGTTTCATGTACTTAGATATTACTTTAAATAGTTCCAATATATTAGTTTGGATAAATTTAAGTACAATTTATCAATTGTTAAAAAAGTTTTTTCCTTCTGTTGTAATGTTAGTCCTTAAGGCAGATGATTTGCCTTCTCACTTTATTGTACAGTAAGGAACAAAATACTTATAAATATTTATTAGTTAAATAGTTTTGTCTTATGTTAATGATTGAGGCACCAATGAAAATTCTTATTCTTTAAAAATCTTCAATATATATATTTCTTATAGAGGTTCAGGATTTTAATGGAGTCAAGTCCTTCAAACTACGAGAGAACCACCAATACTATGATCAAGTGCAAGGACAGCTTCATATAACTGGGAAATCCTTGTGTGATTTTATGGTCTGGACACCAAAAGACTGTGCGATTGTGAGAATTAACAAAGACATCTATTGGGAGATCAACATATCTGTTTTGACGGACTTTTATTTCTGTAAATTTCTCCCGTATTTACAACAGCTATAAGATATAACATTAAACATGGTGAAAACATTTTAATTTTAATATCTTAGTTATCTACACTTGCAAAATTCTGAGCAATTTCCTGCATAAGGGGATCCTGAAAATTGACTAAAACACAGCATAACTGAAAGACTTTTGTAGAAATATATCTATATTGCTGAGGAACATGCCTTAAAATTTTATAATTCTTAATACGCTCATTTGCTCTTTCAACATGTATGCGTGACTTAGCAATTCTTCGACATAGTTGGACCTCACTGGGGGTGTATTGGGATTTAGATGTAAGAAAGGGAGGAATATTTAGATGTACTCCTTGGGGCAACAACTTGTGAATAGTGAACCCTTTGTCTGCTAAGATCATATCACCAGGAGATAACTGTTCTAAGACTATACAATGTTCTACAATTGCCACATCAGATGTGCTGTTACAATGTTATTGACAGATGACGGACTCGTGTTAAACCTCTCAGCAAGGTCTAAAAATGGGGTGTTCATTGTCAGTTTCATAAAAGTCATCAACAATTGGTCAGTCAATGAAATGAAAGATGGTGCCCATCCATCAATATACTTTATCTGTAACCTCTGCATCATTTCATCAATGGCAAGAAACATGCCAGGACGTAGACTTGTGTACATTAGCATCTATATTAAAACATGACATTAAAAACAGTGTCAAGAATTTTTTTTATTTCATTATTCAAATTTATTTGCCCATAATAATACTGCCCAGCAGTATTTCAATTAAATAATTTTACAAGATATTTTCCTGACATTGCATGTTCTAGCACTTATCCAGTCATTTTTCACCGGCTGATGAACTGTCCAGCAGTTGGCCCATCATCACAATAAACATGTCAACTGAAATGAAAATACTTAACCACAAAGTATCGTGTTCAAAGAAATGCATGATCATAGCTTATTTTTGTGACAGGAGATTATCAACTATAAATTTAAACATTTTAACAAGCTTTTTAAAGCTGAAATTTAATTTAATGTCTATTTTGAATGATTACAAAATGAAACTTATTTATCTTATATATACTATTTACAGTATAAACACTAAAATAAACATGTAATATAGATGTAGTGTTTGATATATTTACAGTACCTATTTTCCAAAGCGTACCTTTCTCTCATCACTTAAGATATCACCAATCCTGAAAGCACGCTTTGTTGACATCATCCTGACCTGTATTCTTAGTTCTTCAACTTCACGCCGCAAATTCTGGGGAATACATGTAAAATGTACCTATACTTGTACCGACATCAAAATCAGAATTAAAACATCATGTACCAGGTTAAATGGAAAAGACACAAAGTTTTAATCTATCATATCAGACAACATTTTGTATTAATAAGGTGAATCTATTGATTCTAACAAACTACATGCAATATGCCACAGATTTGTGTGTACAACTATGATATAATACCTGATTATCTTCCTTTAACTGATGATATGAAGCCTGATAGGTGTGGTCTAGAGAAACATGTGATGGTTGACATGACATTGCTGTAGATTCACACTGGTCTTCAGAGACTGCCTTTTCTTTGATCTCTCTTTTTTCAGTTCTCGATAAACCGAACAAATTACAAAGTAACATTTTATGCATTGAAAACTAAGCTTTAATACATGTACATGTTTGTTTATTATATAGCATCAGACAAGCATATTAACGATTCATGTTTTATTACACTATATTAAAGTAATCCTCAGTACTCTGAAGTTTTGTTGGTAAACAGAAAAAGATACAGTACCTCTTTATTTTGCTCGGATCTGGAAAGTTGAACATTTTTCCACTACTCCATGGGAAGAGGGTGGGGCCATTACTCTTCTCGCCATCTGCAAAGTGACAGCTGCAGATTCTGTCATTCTGGGGGATCATGCTTCTATCCTTACGTCTATTTAATTAATAAACGTTTTAAAAAGTCATATATTGATACACGCTTTGAAATGTAAACGACATATTTCGATTTTCGTACAAACAGTTGACAAAATGTCAAAGATATGATATATACCTGTAAAGTATTTCCCATTTCTTCGCCAATGCGGAGCTGGCTGGGAAGCGAAACATCTTACATGTTTTCCTCAGCCCTTGGTGGTTACAATCAAAAACAAAACAGATCGTCATGACCTGTATGCGTCGCTAATATACCGTATTTCGCTTATAAGTCAACGTATAACAATAGCCTGGTTGTCTCCGGAAGTAGTTTACCGGAAGTGAGACTTTACGAGACTGTGCAGGCCTATATTTTTGGGCGTCAGATGAGCAAATAAGGCAACAGCAAGGTTTTAACTGACCAATCATTTGAATCAGTATTGCATTATGGTTTACTACGAATACTACAGGAATTTTACAGTTGAATAAAAAAGGAAATTTTTATGGTAAACGAAAAGCATTTTTTTGAAATTCTATACAGTGGACCCTCATTTATCCGGACACTTTGGTTCCCAGTCAATTTGTCCGGATATGTGAAGCATCCGGATATCTGAATCACCAGTTAAACAAGACAGAATAACATTTTAAGATTTCGTTCCGATGAAAAATCGTCCGGATACTGAAGCATCCGGATATCTGGCGTCCGGATATCTGAGGGTCCACTGTATTATATATTTTCATGCTCAAATGACAAACAAATTATTTGTTAAAGTCTAGGTTTCTCAAAGTCATACTGCAAAGCGTTTTGCGTCTGTATTAATTCCATTGTTCAGTTGTTGTACTATCGGTGAATACAATTGTCAGGTGAATTCCCTGGCCAAAACACATGATTACGAGTATTGTTATGTAAACAAAGTTTTGTCCATTTAAATGCACAAGACATGTTGCTCGTTTTCCTTACCCTTGAAGCGCTGGTGTTCTAAACTAGACAAAGACTATATTTTATAAAATAATAAACATATTTTTTTTCTAGTTAACAACAAATCATTCATAGTTTCTAATCTTTGTATTTTGTTCATAAGAACATTTTTTTATTTTTCACTCCATTGACCTGATCATAGATTGACCTGAAACACTTGTTCGAAGTAGAATGTAAATATTTATTTGGCGTAAACAATGCTATTCATTCTACAATTGGTCAGTTGCTCGTGGTAAATCCTCTGTGCGCATTTATAGCAATAGCCATATAAGGCCCACAAAGGTTTGTCAGTGTAGATGATATTACACCTATTTTTTACCAGCGAATCGGTCGCTAGTGATTTAGAATTTTTGCCGTAAAGTATGATAAGATATATTATTTGTTATCCTCCCCTTTAGCCACTCTTTTCCTGTATAAAATCATAAAAGTCTTTCAGAAAGGTCTGGAAACACATTTTTACAAACAGACTATAGCAATTTTCTGTTTACTGCCAATTTTATTTATAAAACCGGTTCCACCCTATAACCTTTGAATAGGTCAACCTTAACCACGTGCCTTGAATTTAAATCACAATAAAATTAGTAGGGGTGGTATTGTTTTCCCTCTTACCTCCAATTCAATTTTTTTCAAAATTTTAAGTTAAGATATTCGAATTATTTTTATAATGTATATTGATTTTTATACGGATTTTCATAAAACATTTTTTTTCTTTTCTTTTTTTTAAAAAACAACGAGAGATAATTCTAAAATGTTGGAAGAACACGTGTTTTTATATATAGAAATCAACGTAAAATGAAAATTATTTTTACCCCTTCATACGTCCATGAAACAAAACATCCTTTTTACTGGTAATAATGGACTATCATTTCACAAATTTCACCAAAGCATTTTGTTTTTCATGGGGGAGGGGGGACATACGAGGGTTGTTAGAAAAGTAAGCAGACCCTTTGATTAACGGAAAATCTATAATATTATTATAAACTGTGAAGTGTGGCCTATGTCCTATTAAATTACTATCTTATGTTTATTGGTATGTAAAAAAAAAATCAGGTCCATTTACAAAAATCTAAAAAAAAAAAAAAAAAAAAAAAAGTACAAAAATTTTTACTTGTGGTCATAGAGTTCACGGAGCAATCACTTCACGTTCAGTGACGCGACAATTAAATTTCAAACCCGTTAAGCTTTTTCAGAGTTCTAAATATCTTTCAATCTTTAGACTTTTTTTCTCTTTTTTCTACTTAAAACCTAAATATTTATATCAAGAAAGTCACTTTTCTTTTATAATGTCTTTTGAGCTGTTTTGGATATTAGTGGGATCTTTAAATATGGGGTCAGCGCAGTTGCAGAAGGATAAAACGTACGCTCAACCAGGACCTCGGGTTCCCCGCAAATAGTTCGTCATTTTGCGTAGTAATAAAACATTTTAGGAACTCTTCAGGCATTAAAGGCACAAATGTAAATTCATCGATATCAATACGGAGACCTCGGGTCACCTTATCTATGAATTGAATTTTATATGATAGACAGTTTTCTTTGTCTTACTCCAAAATAATCATATTTATAACTTTATACAGATCTACTTTCTAATATATATATTAGCAGAAACGTGAAAGTAATAAGGGGGACCAGAGGTAACCTTATATTATACTGTACATCAGAAGGGAGACCAGTGGTCATCTTACCCTATTGTTATATTGTATAACATAAGAGGGGTCATAGATCACCTTTCATTTTAATTTAATAGGGGTCAAAGGTAACCTTTAATTGCACATCGTAAGGGGGACCTGAGGGCACCTTATATTGTACATCAGTAGTGGTACCAGAGGACACCTTATATTGAACATCAATAAGGAGACTAGATGTCACTTTATATTGAGCATATAACTTACATTGGTAGGGGTACTAGAGGTCACCTTATATTTTACATCAGTGGGGGGGGGGGACCAGAAGACACCTTATATTGAACATCAGTAGGGGGACCAGAGGTCACCTTATATTGTACGTCAGTAGGGGACCAGAGGATATCTTATATTGTACATCAATAACGAGACCTGAGGTCACTTTATATTGTACATCATTTGGGGGAGGAGAGGACACCTTATATTTAACATCAGTAGGGGGACCAGAGGTCACCTTATATTGAACATCAAAGGAGACCAGAGGTCACCTTATATATGTATTGTACATCAATAAGGGGATCAGAGGTCACCCTATACTGTACATCAGTAGGGGGACCAGTTGTTACCTTTTATTGAACATCAATAAGGAGACCAGAAGTCACCATATACATATATTTTACATCAGTAGGGGGACCAGAGATCACCTTATATTGTTCATCAATAAGGGGACCAGAGGACACCTTATATTGTACATCAATAAGGAGACCATAGGTCACCCTATACATGTATTGTACATCAATAGGGGGACCAGAGGTCACATTATACATGTATTGTACATCAATAGGGGGACCAGAGGTCACTTCATATTGTTATAATTTGGGGGACCAGAGGTTGACTTATATTGTACATCAGCAGGGGGACCAGGGGTCACCCTATATAGTACATCAATAGGATGAACAGAGATCAACTTATATTGTACATCAGTGGGGGGACCAGAGGACACCTTATATTGTAGATCAGTAGGGGGACCAGGGGTCACCCTATATAGTACATCAGTAGGGGGACCAGAGGAGACCGCATATTGAACATCAATTAGAAGATCAGACGACATCTGCCCCGTGGGGATCCGGGTTAGAATAGGTCCTCAGTACCCCCTTGCTTGTCGTTAAAGGCGACTAAATGGGGTTGTCCTTTGGATGAGACCGTAGAAACCGAGGCCCTGTGTTACAGAAGGTGTGGCACGGAAAAGATCCTTCCCTTCTCAAAGGCCGTAAGTGCAGAGCATAGGCCTAAATTTGCAGCCCTTCACCGGCAATGATGGCGTCTCCATATCAGTGAAATATTCTGGAGAGGGACGTTAAACAGTATACAATCAATCAATCAGAGGACATCTTATATTGTACATAAGTACGGGGCAAAAGGTAACCTTTCATTGCACATCATAAGGTGGACCTGAGGGTACCTTATATTGTACATCAATAAGAAGACCAGAGGTCACCTTATACATGTATTGTACATCAGTAGGGGGACCAGAGGTCACCTTATATTGTACATCAGTAGGGAAACCAGAAGACACCCTATACTGAACATCAATAAGGAGACCAGAGGTCAACTTATACGAGGGCAGTTCAATAAATAATATCCTCGGTACTTGGAAAGAAACAAAAGACGCTTTTCAATAATTTAGTCATAATGATTTAACCTAATATTATCTTCTAATTAAAACACATGTCCGTTACATTTTTTTTAAATCCAATTTCTGATTGTTTTTAGAACTCATTTTTTGGGTATGACCTTTTGTATCTGGATTATTGCAGATCCTATGACTTCCTGGACTTGTTTCTTTTTTTCTGAAAGGCGTTTTTTTCAAGTTTGGAAAATGAAACAAGTCAAAATGCGAAAGATCTAGCAATTATTGTTAATGTGAAAGAACATTAACTTTCTGTTTATCCCCAAGACTTTTTTACTCTTCATGGCGCGCGGGTTTGGACGCTGTCATGAAAAAATCTAATATAGTGAATTTTTGATTCTCATCAACATTTTGATTTTTTTTTTTTTTTTTGCATCAAATTACTTTCTAGATTCCTCCAACAATTAAACTGCCCCCCCCCCCGAATACGAATATAAACAACAAACCACTAATATTTAAGAAAATTGCATAAAAATCTGTATTTATGCTCTTGCAATCCTCTGCTCTTCTCAGACCTTTGCTTTTTTTGTCAAGTACAATGTACAACGTATTGTAAATTTTGTTTTGAGAGTTTTAAGCAATAGATTGAAGTTTCATTATCTGTTTGAAATTCAAACATAAGCGGATAACTACAGTTACTGATATTTTTCATAATTGTTTAGATATTCTTACACGCAGTCGATTTCACTCATTTTTTTAAACATAGGGTGACTTTTGAGTACTAAGCTTTTTTACAGTCAAACTTTTCTTTAAAACTGTGTGAACTACACCCGAAATGATGTCTATTGAATTTGCTTTGTGTCTTATAGTCAATCATACACCATCAGTGATTATTTGTTGAAATTTGACAAACAGTACATTAGTTGTTAATTTTTTTGTTTGCAAGGACGGTATCCATTTTTGATGCCATTATTATATAATTTTTATCATTGAAATCCACCTGCTCAATTGTCTATAAACTATAAAACAGACATTGATTGCTGTAAATTTTACATATTTCAGTGAGTATTTCTTTGGGATTCTTAACA